TAATTTATGAGCAAGCAGTGGAAGTTACATACCGTAAGTGCTATGTATTATAATTTATAATAAATAAAATAGATGCTATTAACTTCAAGTGGCCTATTTTTTTAGGCTATATAGCATTTTTTCCCTTAAAAAAAAGCACTTATTTTATTAAATATTAGCAACTTTTATTTTTCTCAGTTTTCGTGTGAAAAATGTTAACATCCCGGAAACAATAAGCATACAATATTAGCATCAATCACAAAGTAGCAGATATACAACCTAAGTTTTTACAATATGTCATATTATAATTACCTTAAATTATAGGAATTTTACCAAAATATATAAATGGAGTAGATTTACCTGAAAAATGGAAAATGGTTTGGCCTACACCTTAGCAGCAATTCACGACTTCCACATGGAAGAGGCCATCACTTTTTGCATTCTTCTCCCACAATTTGTAAAAGGAGTGAATTTATCATGAACAAATTGATTTCACCTAGCCCTACAAATTGTCTGAAGCTTTCTAATGGTGTGAATTTATCAGAAAATAAATGAGTTCGCCGAACATTTGCACCGTTCACAGCTTTCATATGACCATACGGCCATACCCATCAATTTGAGAATTCTTCTCCCTCAATTTGTGTAATTTCAAAAATCAAAATGGAATCCAAAAAGCCTAATTCTTCCCAAAAATACATAACAAGGAGCTTAACCCAATATAGGAAACCTCAAGCACCGACCGAAACCTTCTTTTATAAGGGGTTTATGATTAAAAAAACAGAAAACCCAATTAGAACGGATGAGAGGAAATATCAAAATAAATGAGTAAGGGCTTATGTGCTTTGCTGTCTAGCTCCGATCGTCGAAGCTCACAAGCTTGTTCAGAGAGTATTATGATGTCTCGCAGAAGCTATGGAGTATCGAGAGGGTCAGGGAGAAGTCAGGGTTAAAAATGAACCTTCTCGTAAGCAGGGGCGGACCCAGGAATTTGAGATGTCCTGGATTGAAAAGAAATTATACTAGGTTTAAATATTAGAGGGGTGGGCTAAACGTGAAAAATGAAAAAATTTACACTAAAAAAGTTGAAAATTTTCTAAGTTACCCTGAGCTTCAGCCTACCATAGCCCGTGCATAGATCCTCCCCTGCTCGTAAGTGAACATGTCTGAAGCGCAAGGAGAGTTAAAATCCCGCTGAACGAATAAGTCACAACTTGACTGAGCGAATAAGTCATTTTTATCATTAAGTCGTAAGTAAACACGAGTATATGGATGGACGATTAAGTCATCTATTCAATTAAGTCCATTAAGTCGTAAGTAAACGGGGCCTTAAACACTTATGTTAACAAGTGTTATTCCATAAAAATTACTTCCTATAACTGAAGCTCAATTCTAAAAAAAAAATACTTTTATACATTGACGAAAACGTTTCTAATAAGGTAATGAATTTGGAAAATCTCATATGTCACTGCTTAGATGAAATTTGAATTAACTAAACAAAGGTTGTTCACATTTACATAAATTGAAATGATATTAGTGATATTTTTATATTTCAAAAGTCTAGAGCATTCATTGTTTCAAAATGAGTGGATTAAATCTTTTTTCATTAAAAAAATTGGTATAAAATTTTGATCCTTAATGTACAACACAAAATACAAAAAGTGTATCAGTATAACATAGGAAAAATTGATAGTAATAATCCCAACTATTGGCGGTCCGCTCATAATAATCCCAACTATTGATTATTACAGAATAATCCCAACTTTAGGGACCTTCCGCCAATAATGGTCCCTATGAATAAATTCTTGTAGTTTCTAAAGTGGATGAGATAAGATATAACAAGTAATCCCTATAAATAATCTCAACTTTTAATTTTTACGCTTAATTTCTATTTAAAATTCACTTTTTATAGAGGTAATATATGGTCATGGACCATTATTGGCGGATAGTCTATATAGTTGGGATTATACAAAAATGATTAATAGTTGGGATTATTTTCAGCGGACCAGCAATATTTGGGATTATTATTTTCAATTTTTCCTATAACATAAAGGAAAAATTGATAGTAGTAATCTCAACTATTGGCGATTCGCTTATAATAATCCCAATTATCGATTATTTCAAAATAATCTCAACTTCAAAGACCTTCCTCCAATAATGTTCCGACCTGACCGGCTATGAATAAATTCCGATAAATTCTAAAGTGGATGAGAAGAGATCTAACAAGTAATCCCCATAAATAATCCCAATTTTTAATTTTTACTCTTAATTTTTATTTGAAATTCACTTGTTATCTAATCATGGACCATTATTGGCGGACGGTCCATATAGTTAGGATTATACAAAAATAATCAATAGTTGGGATTATTGTTAGCGGACCGACAATAGTTGAGATTATTATTTTCAATTTTTCCTAACATAAAAGGGCATTATGTAGTCATATATTAGGAATCATTACCATAGTTCTGATGTAGCACATTTTGTTTCAAACGATCTACCGTACATTTTATGTGTATTAATGCACTATTTGCATACAATAATACAATCTTTAAATGCACAATGAACTCTAAAATATTTATCAAAATGACATTCTATTTTTTTTAAATAACCGCATCCATCAGATTTATTAGATGATTAGATCAATGACCATACACAATCTTATAAAAAGAGTGCATTTTAGGTCAAAGATAAGAATTAATCATCAAATACAACCTTCACGGTGAAAACTTATACAAGTACTACGTATGAGTTATATTGTCTTTCCCTAATAGGTGTTTAAGTAAGAAAGGGGTCCGGATTAAAATGATCAAAAGTAAAAGTGAACAAGAAAACTATAATAATTAAGAACTCACTGGCAGGGTATTATCAATGATTAATTAATTAGTCCAACACCCGAAGAAGACGCCCTTAGTTATTCAGAGTCCATTGTATATAAGGAGGTATCGGCCGCCCCTAAATTTACATCATTAATTGAAATGGACCATATATAAATGCTTCGTAGTATTATTAAATACAATATGTTCTACACTTGAAGGAATTAAGTGTTGCAAGCTAAGCTGGTTGTCGTTACGTTGATGGCTGTACGTTGTGTACACCGTACAAATCCTACCATTCGGTCTTTCTTCCATGCATCTTCACCGACGTTTACATTTAAACCATAAAAATGGCTTCAAATCAAATAAAAATAATCACTCCGTCCCAAATTGTTTTGCAAAGTCAACATTTTTTTATCAATTAATAATAAAAGTCAATGCTAAACGAACCAGGAAGATCAAATCTCAACTCTTCGTGGAGTAACAGAAAGGCATACGTTGTCTCTCGCTTCTCTTTAGGGCTTCGGCCGCTTGGAGTTTGTTTCCGTCTTCGATTTTAATCGAAGGACGGCCGCTTTTCCGTCTTCGATTTTAATCGAAGGACGGCCGCTATTTCCGTCTTCGATTTTAATCGAAGGACGGCTGCTGTTGTTTGTGCTTCATACTCGAAGGGCGGATTTGCTGTCATGGCTCGAGGAGATCGGCGTTGTGGTCAAGGTTCGAGGATGATGTATTGCTGTCGTCGTTGGAGAAGATCGGCGCCGCCTATCCGTTTACTCTGGTTGCATGAAGCAGGGATGAGTTTGGTTATGCAGGGACGGAGGATTGATGCATGGCCTTTGGCAGACAAAGGTCACGGAGTATCAATTAGCATGGTACCGGTGGTAAGACCTCCTCCTGAACCACCACCATGGGATGTACGAGGTGCTAGAGTTCGTGAACGCTTTTCTTATAGTTTTTATCTGTTTGTTATTTATTTTCTTGTGTCCACTTTTGTTGTTGATTTTGACAGTTTGTTTGAGTTTTTTGCTTCTCTTTATGTCATTGGGTATGGTTGGATCTCTGGGAATAGGTTTGGCTGTGTCAAGCCCACCACATGGTTAGCGATTCGTGTTGCTCTCTCAGGGGTGACCGTCTCAAAGTCTCACCATAGGGTTACAGTCGTAGTTGTTGAAGTTTCAGTTGGTGTCAGTTTTATTTTTCTTTTGCTTGATGTAATGATCCTGAATCTTTTGATATGAATAGAGGCCCGTTTGATGATAAACAAAAAAGTCAATGCTAATAATGTACGGAGTAGTTATTACCTTAATAGGAGTTTCCTATTAAGGTAATAACTACATTATTAAATGCTCCGTATCGATAATTAGTTCAATTTTTAATAATTAATATTTATATATTCAGAAACTACATTAAAATCTCTTCCAAATTGTAAATTTCAAATTAGAATATAATTAAAATTTGATATCCTAATTAATCGAATAAAATGAAACTGTTTGATCAAGAAAAGTCAAATTTGCCAATCAATTTGGGACGGAGGTATTATACAACAAGATATGATCAAATTTGGATGTAACGTAATATATACTAAACTTAACCTCAATGATCACCATGGTTGTTTGTAATACTATCTATATACATGTTTTTGAGTTTTAGTGTGATATGTACCAATCCTTTATTATTTGGAAGTAATTAATTGCTAGACTATGTGTTGTTATTTCATTTTGGTGCAATATGTACTAATGTGTTCTTTTATATTTGGTAAATAAAGTACGTATGACTATGAGTTTTAAACTTTAATGTATCTCAAATTAGAAAAAACGGATTCAAGTGAAATAAAATAGATATGCTACTTCTATAATTCAGCCAAATATTTGGTGTCCTAGCTTGTTTAGAGTTTTGTTTTCGAATTTCAGTCCTATTATACTCTCAATTGAAGTTGATATTTGGCATGCTCCCTAAAGTGGACGATATGTAGGCCAATATATATTGGAACTATCTTAGCTACGTACGTAGCTAGCAATACTAGCACGTAAATATACACTCCATATGAGATAGTCGATTCAATTGGATTACACTAATAGACACATCCACGTGAAGGTTTAATTTGCTATATTATTCTTGAGCTGGCATGCATATATCTTTCCCTTAATTATGATCGCATTTTCTTAGAATAGAATTTTCCGGCCTATATATAAAGCCAGTAACCACTTAGCTACGTACTCCATTCCGGAAAACTCACATATACATCCATCATTGAAATTATATACTCAAATACTTCATCCATTCTTTACTAATTGCAACATTGCGTTTTCGTAAAACTAGTCGGGATGTCAGAAGCAAAGAAGAAGCTTGGAAGAACGTTATCTCCGAGGGGGAGGAAGAACAACGAGAGTAGCGACGAAGCGGATGTTCCGAAGGGGCACTTCGCCGTGTACGTCGGAGAAGCACGGAGGCGGTTCGTGGTTCCGATCGAATATTTGACACATGCTTTGTTCCAAGATCTGTTGAGTTGGGCGGAACAAGAGTTTGGGTATGAGCATCCCACCGGTGGGCTGACAATCCCATGTAGTGAGGATTACTTCTTAAGCCTCACTTCCCTTCTTAGCTCCCAGGAATCGTAATGGAATCTATTGGATACTCACTTAGCATGCTAGCTATAGTAGTTTAGACCGACACGTTTTATAGCAGGAATTCGTATTTTAGTCTTGACCACATTTGTTTACCGCAATGGTAAAATATACGGAGTATTTGGATACTGGAAACGTGTATGTGCGATTCTACGTACGTATGTTTTGACTCCAAATAATTGTAGTATTGTACAATGCCATTTATAAAGCTTGATGAATTAAATAGTACGTACGGCTACTCATTCTTTCCTTATAAGTTACAGGTAGATTCTATAGTACCCAATGTACCATACCTTTGTCCATATGGACTAATAAGAATGTTGCAGTTGAATTATTTAAAGGTGACAACTCCGGTACCCTTTTAAAAATTGGGGTACCGTACCTACCATGCATTTGATTGGTCCAAATCATTTTATTCCTTTTAATTTAGATTTAATTAATTCAACTGCATCATTCCTATTGGTCCATGTGGACAAAGGTATGGTACCTTAAGGGTACCATAGAATCTACCTTATTTAAATCTAAATTAAAAAAGATAAAGTGATGTGGTCCAATCAAATGGATGGTAGGTACGGTACCTCATATTTTAAAAAGGTACCGGAGTTATCACCTAAGTTATAAGGGAAACCGTTCATCCCAAAATGATGATTCTACATTTTCCTTTTTGGGTGTCCCAAAATAATAGTCATGTTTTCCTTTTTGGTAAGAAAAAAAAGTGGATTACCATTTATATCCCTCCTTTTTAATAAAAGTAAAAGGACGAACAATAAAATAAAGTAAAGTTCTTTAAGTCTTTCTACCACATTTTCTTAATACTTGAGATAAAAAAATATATAACCATCAATTTGGGATAGAGGGAGTACTACCTTAGTATGAATTGTTTTATCAAAATTAATTTCATTCAATTTAAAAGATGATCATGAAAAGGAAAAAAGTAAGGATGTTTTACTTGGACTGTAATTTGCTACTTTGATCTGGTCTGGTCGATTTAAGTCTGCCCTGATCTATTTAAGTCTAGTCTGATCTGAACTGGTCTACTCTGGTCTGGTACACGTCTGGTCTTTGAGTATTTTATAATTACGGAAGTCAAGTCTTGTCTGGTCTGGTCTAGCGATGGGCCGGGACTGGGTCGGTCGGGTCGGGTTCAAGGTCGGGCTCCAGGTCGGGCTTTGGTGGGCTCCGGGTCCAAAATATTTAGGCCCGATACCCCCACCTCAATTCCCCCAAACCGCCCAGCCCCACCCACCTAGCACCCAGCCCAATGGGGAAAAACAAAAAAAAAACAAAAATTGGGCCCAGACCGGGCCCGGCCTGTTCAGGTTGTTGGTCACCTCAAAACACAACCCGTGTCGGGTCACCGGGCCTGGTCCCAGACCAAGTCTTGGGTCGGGTCGGCACGTCCCAGTCCACCACTAGTCTGGCCTGTTTATGTATGGTTTGGTCTAATTTGGTCTGTTTAAGTCTGATTTGATTTGTTTAAGTCAGGTCTGATTTGCGACTGAAAACCGTCAAGTAAAAACATCCTAAATAGTAAGGCATTGGGGCAACATATGCATGTATCTTGCTCGTTGTTTTTACAAATGACATTACACTACACTAATGAAATTAAGAACATAAAAATCACTCTCATGTTATGAAATGCTTTTCATAACATTTAAAAAAAATGTTTTTCATTATAAGCTAGACCAAAATATTGACAAAGTTCTAAAATAAGATTAAGTACATTTTATTACTCCCACATTATTAGGATGTATTTTTCACTAGAAGACCAAAATATAGACAAAGTTTCAAAATGAGATTAAATACATTTTATTCCCAAGATAAAACTAATTTTTCATATTAAAAGAATAATTTGATTAAATATTCTCAAAATATGAGTAAATAAGTCTTATTCTTAGAATAAAATAAAAAAAGTCTTATTTAAGAAATTTCCCTTAAAATTAAAATCTGATTTTTATCATTTTATGATAAATAAAAACTGAACAAGAACATTCTACATCAATATTGATACACACGATAAACTTAAATACAAAAAATTAAAAGGGATTTTAATTTATATATCACCTTAATTATGAAGAAAAATTTAGGGGTGGGATCGATTCGGTTATTAAAAAGAAAACTATGAGCCATTTGAAGAACTATTAATCCAATATTGGTTTGTTATGGATCTTATTTTAAGAACCGATAGTATCATATCAGTGGAATTTTGGTATGTTACCAGTTAATCGCTAAGAAATAAAAAATGTATTTAGCAATTATCTAGTTGCATCCTTAAACCACTGACACATAAAAATATGATATCAAACTAAAAATATTTAAGCATAGATAAGTAAACAAATTACAACAAACTAAAATTTAAAGGAAAAACAATTTTTAAAAAGAAACTCTACTGCACCTATGCACAACTCAAAAAAACAATTTGGAGTTTGTTGATCAATCTCCAAATTCAAATTTTCGAATTAATAAAAGTACACCTTAATGCTTAAACTACGTTTATTCTTGTAGAACTTCGCATTACAAGATGAATTGCATTTATTTCATTTATTTATTTATTTATTTATTTAATTTTTAATGAGTGTTACTTAACATCATTCTAGTTAAAACTTGTGTTTTTCATAAAATTAATAAATATCATTCATATGAAATCCATAAGTTTAGGGTTTTTTACAAGAATATCACTAAAATAAAACATATTTACATAAATATGACTATTCATTACTACAATGTGGTGTTGTGGTAACTTAAGCTCAAAACTTGAACATAAATTACTATGATTTCAGTACTACTCTAGTTACTAATCACATTTTTGTAAATCATCTTTATTTTTGCAAATTAACATATTTTTTCATAAAAAGTCTAAGAATTTAAGATTCTATGAATTTAAAAGTCTATAAACTTTTTTAAAAGTCCACGGGTTAAAAAACATACTATGTATACAAAATATCACAGTCCATATATAACACACCCCTTTAATCTAAACTTTATTTCCATCTTGACGTGACGCGTTTATTTAAATAAACTTATATGGTTGTTCTTCATATAAAAAATGAGATAAACGATATCATATCAATTGCACATTTTTTTGAAAAGAAGTTGCGTTACAATTTTTTGGGCATCGGGATTTTCTAGAATACATTTGTGATATACGAATTACAGACTTAGAAGCTGTTCTCTTCGCCTGATCTGAATGTTTCTGATCTGAATTTTTTAAGTTCTGATCTGATCTGATCTGAATTTTTCTGATCTGATCTGATCTGATCTGAATCTTTCTGATCTGAATCTTTCTTATCAGATCTGATCTGAATCTTCCTGATCTGATCTGAATGTTTCTGATCTGGTCTGATCTGATCTGAATGTTTCTGATCTGATCTGAATCCTTCTGATCTGATCTGAATCTTTCTGATCTGATCTGATTTGAATATTTCTATGATTATAATTATAATTATTATTATTATATTTGCAATTACAAATATAACTTAAATAAAATTATAATTATAATCGTAACTATAAAAATAATAATAATAATTAAAATTAAATTTAAAATGAAAAAATTTATACATATTACACTAATTATAAATATAGATATAATTATAATTGTAATTATATTTTTAATTATAATTACTTATCCCAATTATAATTACAATATTTATCTCTATAACTGTAACTATAGTTATCAATATTATTATAATTACTCTGTAAAATAATTACAATAGTAACAATAATAATAATAATATTAATAATTATAATAAAAATAATAATTATAATCATAAATTATAACTATAATATAATTATAAGTATATTTATAATTAATAATAATTATAATTATATTAACATTTATTATAATATTATAATATAATAATAGTAATATAAATACAATTAATATTATTATAACGATATTATTATATTAATATTATTATTACAATAACATAATGATAATACTAATATTATTATTATAATTAATATTATATTATTATAATATTATATTATAATTATAATTTTAATCATAATTATAATTATGATTGTAATTATAATTATTATAATTATAATTAATTACAATTATAATTATAATTAATTATAGATATAATTATAATAATTACAATTGATATACTTATACTTATAAGAATTATAATTGTAAGTATAATTATAATTACATATAATTATAATATAATATTATAATAATATTAATCATATTATTATTATTATTATTATATTGTAATAATAATAATAGTCTTCTTAATAATTGCATTTATATTACTATTATTATATTAAATTATTATAAATATATTAATATCTTATTTTTTTATCATATTATTATTAATATTATTAATAATAATTATATAATAATAATCATAATAGTAATAACAATATTAATAATAATAATTAGTATAATAATAAAAGTGATAAATCATGTTTGAACTTTTCTGATCTGATCTGATCTGATCTGAATGTTTCTGATCTGGTCTGATCTGATCTGATCTGAATCTTTCTGATCTGATCTGAATCTTTCTGGTCTGATCTGATCTGATCTGATCTGAATTTTTCTGATCTGATCTGATCTGATCTGAATTTTTCTGATCTGATCTGATCTGAATAAAATAAGAATAAGTAATAAGTAATAAGAATAAGAAGAACAGAACAACACCTTAAACACTAAAACATATATGAGGTGAAAGCACAATATTTCACAACATGATTTTTTTGGATAAAGAAAAGAGAGATTTACCTAAATAGGACTAAAAGAAGGTTGAATTGTAAAAATAGGACATAATGTTTTAAATTCCCCTTAATAGGACTAATTATTTGTATTTGGACAAAACAGCCCTCGTAGTTCATGTTGCATCTATTCGCTAGCTGCTTTGCTAGAGCTGGACTTCTGCTGCATCGATTCGTGTTTGCCCAGGTAAGTTTCTTCATCTTTTTCTTCTGCTCTTCTTCTGCTTTTTCTTCTTCATCTTCTTCTTCTTCTTCTTCTTCTTCTTCCTAGTTCTCTGCTTTTTCTAATTTTTATCATTAAAAAATTTTGAATTTTAAAAGTTTCATACGAAGGATATATCAAAACTTGAAATTCTTGTTATCAATTTTGATTAATTTGAATCTCAAAATGCCCTGACTAATGATTCCAAATGTCACTTTTTTAATAACAGAATGTCATAATTATTGGGTATTTTTTAAAAATTGTCACTTTTGTGTCATTACAATATTTGGAAATGTCATATTCAGTGTCATGTTTCTATACGAAATTGACATTATTGTGTCATTATTGGTTATTTTTTAAAAATGTC